CCCCCCCCAAAGCTGCCTCCATAGCCCCAGCTGGAGCCCCCACTCAGGCCACAGCTGCCGGCCCCTCCTCGGAAGCCCCGGGCAGAGCCTCGCCCCAGCCCGCAACTGCTTCCGCCGCTGAAGCTGGCGCCCCCGGCGGCGGACACCCTGACCGCGCTGCTGCCTCGGGTCCTGGAGGACACGCGGGAGGAGCAAGACATGCTGTTCCTGCAGAGATGTGGCTTGTCCAGGTGAGTAGGAGAGGTGACATGAAAAGGAGGCTGCCTTTTTGGCCCTTATATACACACTTTCAGGGTGTTCCTCTTCGGTGTCATTTCTTAATCCCTGTTACAGTTTTACTAATCCGCAACTGGATAATTTTTTTTTCCCGAACCCACTCTACCGGCTCTTTTTCTGAAGTTGGGTCAGAGCCTCGGGGCATTTACTACATCAAGGGGGAAAAAAATAAGGTGGAGGAAAGCCAAAAATTTTTTTGTTTTCCAAAATTACAGTTTTAATCTTGCAGAGGTTTCGATGACTGGTCTTTCTTTTCTGAAAGAGTAATTCTATTAAATTTGCTTCATGATTTCCCAATTGCAGGGCACATCCCCAGATTCACAGATGTAATTAAAATACTTAATATGATGAGAATGGAAATTGTCCATCAACTTGTGACTTTCTGTTTATATTGTTCTCTTAAAGTCGAAATTAACTTTAGCATCGGCATTTGTTTCAGGTTTACTTAATTGTCCTCAGTGATTATTTCAATCAGCATATTTCTAAGGCTGTTGAAGTTTGTGATTTTAGGTGACTGTTTTCTTTGTATTTTGAGATCAAGTGAAATATTCTTACTGTTATTAAGAAACACTGAAGCAAATAAGTCTTCCATGTACATATTATTAGATCTTAACAACATGTTTACTGGAGCAGAGAATGTCTAAGAAAGATGGGGGAAGTGTTTAGGCAGATCGTTTTAGCATCAGATCGGAGTTAATGGTGAGATGCTGCGCTAGTAAGGCGCTTTTCTTTCTTGTTGAATTTGAGTCTAATGTAGCAATACCAACTTGCTTCTTTAGAATCAAGTCTTAAGACACGAAGGGATGGTGTTAATTTTGTTATTATCTGGCGAAGAGGATCTGAATCATTTCTTTTAAATTTTATTTTGTTTTTCTTTTATTTTTTTTAAACTTTTACGTGACTCACTTCTGAGAACCAGTGTTAGACCTGGAGTTTTTGACACCCAGATCTGGAGTTTCCCGTCTACTCTCTGCTCCCGTTTCTTCTGTTTTTGTTTAAAAGATATTTAGAAAAGAGGATCTGTATCCACTTCCGATAAGCAATGTTATGATTGTTATGACTGGGGTCACATTTTACAGATACCGAAATCTAGAATCCTCCCCAGTTCTCGTTCTGCTTCCTGTTTTTCTGTCCCTTTGTTCTTTAGATTATTTCCATTCGTCTCTGCTTGTAGTTTCTCTGGTTTGAAAGTGTTTTTTTTTTTTTTAAAGACAAATACTATATGATTCTATTTATACAAGGTACCCAGTGTAGTCAAATTCAGAGACAGAAAATAGAATAGTGGTTGCCAGGGGCTGGGTGGGCAATGAGTTGTTTAATGGGTACAGGGTTTTAGTTTTGCAAGATGAAAAGAGTTCTGGAGATTGGTCGCAGCACAATGTACCTGATACTACTAAATTGTACACTGAAAAATAATTTTAAGATGGTAAATTTTACGTGATGTGCATTTTACCACAATTTTAAAAAGGCTTTTTTTTGTTTTGTTTTTCCTCCAAACAGGACAGATGCTTCCAAAGAAATTGCTTGGTCTCCTGAGCTTTAGGCTCAAGTAGCTGACTTTTGCTTCTCTAAAACATTTTTTTTTAATTTTGTTTTTTTTTATTGAAGTATAGTTGATTTACAATATTAGTTTGAGCTGTACAGCAAAGCGATTCAGTTATACATATAATACACACACATATATATTTTCCATTGTATGTATCTAAAACTTTCTTGCTTACCTTGGCCAACTCTGTTAAACTATGTGCATGCTTTAATCTTTAAATTCAGTCACTTGTTATCCAATGTTCTGCCTTCTTTTGATTTTTCCTTAGACTGCCTTTGGGACATATTGCTAAATAGGTGATAATTCCCTTTACTGTGTAGCTCTTTATGTTGTTAGCTTTTGTGGTCTGCCTGCATTGTTTTGGCAGTAGTGGTGTGTGACTGCTCTTATACTGAGGGTGCCATCGCTCCAAGGGGTACAAGGTGTTTTATAAATTTTAAATCGTTCAGCTGGGAGTCATTCTCATTATGCCCTTCCTTCTAACGCAGGTAAAAAATGCACCACCTATTCAGTGTTGTCGGTCATCTTGCCTCACCCCTCCCCAAAGCTATGAAACCAAAGAAGTTTCAACACTAATGGTTAAATGACATGCAAATATTGGAGGTGGGAGGAAGTACCCCTTTCTTTTCCTCCCTTTTAAAATGATGAAACGTAATCTTTCCACTTTCATAAAGGCTGGCATTTGGCTTCAAAGGTTTAAAAAAAGACACAACAGCTCAGTGAAAGAAATTTGATGAAACTCAGAAATTTCAGCTGTTAGACAGAAAGAGCTTTAAGTACAAACACAGACAAAAGACAAAATGGCACAGTATTGTAGCCTCTGAATGGTGCCTGGGGCTTATGCAGTTCTTCTTTCCTTGTTATCTGAGTTGTAGCAGTTTGAGTTTGGAAGCTTTATGGGATGTTTGGAACATTTTGGGTCTCAGTTGAGGAAGCTTGTGATGACTGAGGTATTCTGTCTTCTTATTTTTTAGCTTTCTTCTAGATATAGTTTTTAGTGCTGACAACTAGCTTTTTGTTTTTAAAATTTAGCTTAAAGATTAAGTTATCCTGAGATGCTTTTCTGATATTATTATTATTTTTTTAATTGAAATACCATCAGTTACAATGTGTCAATTTCTGGTGTACAGCACAATGTCCCAGTCATGCATATACATATATTTGTTTTCATATTTTTTAATTAAAGGTTATTACAGATATTGAACACATTTCTCAGTGCTAGACAGGAGAAAGTTTTTAAAAAAACCTATTTTTATATATATAGTGGCTAACATTTGTAAATCGCAAATTCCCATATTCTGATATTATTCTTTTAGTCTGTTATTGTATACTTGGGAGATGACAGATAAGAAGGGCATTTAATGAATAAAATGGCCATTACGGCCTCAAATTTTTTGCCTAATGAGGCAGTGTGTAAATAA